CACTGTAATGCAAAGTAAGCAAATATGGCATAGCAGGTTTGTATAATTTTTAATTCCAGGAGCTTCCTTCATTAATGTTTTGAATATTTTTTTAGTGCCAGAGACATCCAGACCTGGCAATAATGTCCTCCTTTCTTGAAAATTAGCCTATCACCCCTGAAATGAGGTGTTTCAGCAGCAATTGGGGGGCAGAGTTTGGGGACATGACCTTCCAGAAAGTGGAGATTGATTCACTTTCTCTTTATTTTTATGAGTGCCAGCAAAGCCTTAATTGAATTATACCAGCTGGCTTGTTTTTATTGCAGCCCTAGCAGACTTTCTGTATTCTGCTTCCCCCAACCGGAGTTTTAGCAGACCATGCACTCCATACTAGGTCACAATCCCTGCTCATGGGGAGGCTATTTCTGGGAGCTCGATCTTGGGATGCTCACAAAAACATAATAAGTAGCTTGGACCTGGGAGCCCTTCTGATTTTTTCAGTGCTGATCGCCTAACAGATGCCTGGAGTCAATGCATCATCAGTGCATTGAGTCACAGCAGCGAAGTTATTAACAACTGATTTGTGTGGAAGCAAAGCTGGCCACAGTAGTTATCATTTCTCCTAATAGCAAACATTGAGTGGCTTTTAGACAATAATGGAACTTCCATGATTTTGGTGCGCATTGCTCAAATGGATAGCATTACTGTCAGCTATTTGCTTCCTTTCCACCACTCCTCTCCCCTTTTAATTACCACAATTTTGAGCCCCATTCACTCCCTCAAAGAGCACAAAACAGCTTTCCCTTTCTTTTGTAGTGTGCATGTTTGTATGTTGTTGTTGTTTTTTTATATGATATTTATTAAAGTTTCACAGAAAAACAAATAGAAAAAAAACCACATTAGTAAAGAAAAAGTTAACAATAAAAAGAAGAAATACAAAGTGAAAAGAAAAAACAATTAAAAACAATTTCATCCTTTCCTCACTTCTTTTACGTTTACTTGCTTCCCGGACCTCCTCTTACCTCCCTCTTCTGTATTCTAATTAAATATGTTAATCCAACAATTCCTTTCCCTCCTTTTTAATCCTAATCTTTAATCTTAATATATTATAACTTTAAATTTTACCTTTTACATATTAAAAACCAATTTTTCCATGTTTTTTTGTGCCTGTACAGCTAGAAGCCACTTAACTTCAATCCAACATCATTCTAACGTATGTTGTTTTATTCTGATCACACTACGTTAGCTTTAGACTTGAATGTGAGGAATCTTCCTCTGAAGGCATGGAGGAGTAAAGGATATGTACACTTGTGAAGATATCCATGACCTGGGAACATGGATGGCAGATTGAGAGTATATGGGTAAAAGATGTAGGAGAGGAAAACAACAGTGACCACACTGTGAGTTTCTGATGGAACTCAAACTCTGCCAAGAATGTAAGGTCCAACAAATTCCTCTACTGCCTCACTGACAATTTCATTTTCCAGCAAGGGGATCATCTATCTTGGACCTGGTCCTCACCAACAGGGAGGAACTCATCACTGAAGTAAAAGTACAGGGAACCTTGGGAGGAAGTGATTACATCCTCTTGGGTTTCATGATCCACAGGGAAGTGAAAGCTTAAGGTAGTCAAAGTTGGATGGGAGTTTCTTAAAGGTGAAATACTGAAGGTACAAATGCAGACAACTCTAACAAGAAAGAAGAGTGAGACGCATGTAAAGAAACCAGTGAGGCTGCGTAATGAGCTTACAAATGAGCTGAAATAAAAAACCTGGCATGTATAAGAAATGCAAGAAAGGGGAAATCACAAAGGGAAAGTATAGCCCATAGTTGCAGGGAGAAGGTGCCTTAGCTGAGATTTCTGCATTGCAGGAGGTTGGACTAGACTATTGGGGGCTCCTTCCAACTCTACAATTTTATGACTGGCAGGTGGGAGATCTTACCCAGCTGTCAAAATGACCTATGGAAGATGGTTGTCAGGGAAGTCGAAGGATGTGACTGGCTGGGAGGATCCTGTTCCCCACCCCTGGCCTTGATGGAAAAAGAAGGGGAGGTACGAGGGCAGTGAGAAGAAGGAGGCCAGAGCCAGAGTTTCAGGCCAAGCTCTAATAGCATTTCAGCCTTTGTGTTATGACCTTTAAGATGTGCAGTTGCATTTCCACATATAATGGCTGCTGATATAGTTCTAGAGCAGGTGTGGGGAACCTTTGCTCCTCCAGATGTTGCTGAACTACAGAGCCCATCAGTCCCAGCTATCATGGCCAATGACCAGAGATGATGGGGATTGTAGTTCAGCAACATCTGGAGAGTAAATGTCCCCATACCCAGTTGTAGAGGGATAATTGTAGTGTGATAACCCCTCCCCCTTCACTTTTTAAAAATAAGGTCTAGCTTGTGCACATTCCAGTATAGGAGAGGGAAACTGCAAAGTCTGCAAAGATATTTTTAAAAAATAATAACACAAACGTTGTAGAAAGTGGACAAATCAATGAGATATTGCTAGGATTTAGGTTAGCTTTGCTATTTGGTCACTTAGGAATGGAAGGGGGGGGGAAACCATTGCAAGGTAAGTGCTACTGAGCAGGGCTTTTCATGTTCTTATAAAGTAAGTGATATAAAAGCTAAATTCAACAAATGTTTATAAGGTGCAGGCATAGAGGAAGAGAATTGAGTGGTTCAGTGCTTATTTTCTTTTTTAAAACAACAACAACAACAATCATATGCTCGCAGTACTGTACAGCAGGGGTCTGAACGTTCTGCAGATTCACGATGGTTATGATAAGGATAACAAAGGACAATGTGAAAATAAACCAAGCTATTAAGGACTTTGGGAGAGAGCTTTGGGTGCAGGCCCATTCTGATGTGCTAAACATGGTGGAAATTGGACTCCCTAGTGCAATCCTTTCAATGTCCACTCAGAAGTAAGTCCTATTGAATTCAATGGGGCTTCTTACTCCCAGGTACATGGCATGAGGATTGCAGTCTTAGGGCAGGTACACACCATACAATTAAAGCATATGATTTCCCCCAAAGCATCCAGGAAACTGTTGTTAAGGGTGCTAGGAGTTGTATCTTAGTGAAGGGTAAACTACACTTCCTTAGATTCTTTGGGGAAAGGTATGTGCTTTTAATACTTGTTGAGAGTGTGCTTTAAATGAATGGTGTGAGTCTGCTGGTAGCCTTTCTTTCCCTTCATAGAGTTTAGAGGCATGCTGTAGATAATTGGTGGGTACTAAATGAGTTGAAAGCTAAAGGCCTTTATTCTTCCTAATTTTCATCTACACATAGACCATTTCTCTTTCAACTGGCACATTTTGACCAAGATCTATTTTATGTCTTTTAGGACAAATCATTTCCACTGCACTGTATTCTTTGGTAGTAGTAGCAGGAGAAGTACATGATCCATAGTGTGAGATTTATGTCCTCCTCTCCCCAACGAGTGATGAGTTACCCCAGGCTCCTCCTATATTTCAGGTAAATCTTTCCCTGGGCTGTGGCTTCCCAATAATTACTTTTTTTAAGAAGAGAGGGTGACACACTGTTGTAATGTGCCTCTTGACAGCTTCCCTACCATGTTCTTCATCAGACGTAGCTTCCAAGAGGAGCTTCATGTATGTGGAATATTTGTTTCACGTGTACACCTGCAATTCACGATAGCTTCTATTTATAAAAAATTCCAAGTGATTCTATCATCCTCCTGTGCACAATGGCCACTTTTACATTAACTTCTTGTTCTTTTAGGAGCTAGTGTTCTTTCCAACAATTAAGGTGCTTCCGATCCTGCAGTCTTTTTGGAAGACTTGCCTCTGCCATGTGAATAAGGAGCTGATGTTTTCATTAGGACAATGCTCATTATATTGCTCACCAAAGTCCTTATTACAGGTTCCGTGAAAAATATTTATTTTTCAACATTTTTAAGCAATGCAACCAGACAAGTATCAAACAAAGGCGCTAGATGCCCAGCAAACCTGGGAAACAAATGCATCATCATTTCAAATCCCATAAACATTTCACTAAAAAGGTACTTATTTTTCTATGCTTGTTTAAACTGCTTTATCTTTAAGTTCATCCATGGCTTTCTCTCTGTCGGTTATTTAATGATTTCCTGCCCCACCCCCCTGGCTCCTGTGGCCAATTTGCTAACCAGTGTGGTTATTTTTATAATACCCCTGTCTCCAGTCCCTGTTCCAGTGTCTAATGTCTCATTTTTCAATTCAATAACAAGGATATATTTCTTTTTTAAGTCTTGTTAGATCACATAGTGAAAATTATTATGTCACCTACATAGGAATTGTGTAGCAGGAGAAACGCTTGTACATATGTTTTACTTTAAGAATTATGTCCTCGATGATGAAAATACGATTGCAGTGCTGAAACAGTACAGTGGTACCTCGGGTTACATACGCTTCAGGTTACATGCGCTTCAGGTCACAGACTCCGCTAACCCTGAAATAGTGCTTCAGGTTAAGAACTTTGCTTCAGGATAAGAACAGAAATTGTGCTCTGGTGGTGCAGCGGCAGCAGGAGGTCCCATTAGATAAAGTGGTGCTTCAGGTTAAGAACAGTTTCAGGTTAAGTACAGACCTCCGGAACGAATTAAGTACTTAACCTGAGGTACCACTGTATATGAAATTGAAAGAATATCCAGGTTGTGCCATCAAGGGAGGACTTTGTAGCTGATGTCCAGGGCCCCACTCATCAGAATGAGCAGGTTGCCCTTTTCCAACTCGACAATATCCTTTTTGAGGTGAGCTGACAAAATAGCACTCGGTGCTAGAGACTGTGGGAATCTTGCCACCTAGGCTGTTTATTCCACTGCTATTATTGTGCTTTACTCTGTTGCTTGAAGAACACAAAGACTTATAAAGACTTACCTTTCTGCCCAGGTTTTCCCTGACCCATAAGATTAGATGCTGTCTTATGTGTTTGAATCCCCTGCACTATGTGTGTTTTCATAGAATCATAGAATTGGAAAGGACCCCAAGGGTCATCTAGTCCAACAACCTTCCATGAAGGAATGCTGCCCACAGCCATCCCTGGGGGGCCTTGAACCACCAACCTTCTGGTTAACAACCAGATGCACTGACCATTGCGCCACCTGAGCGAGATCATTTTATTTGCTTTTGTATGCTTTTACATGAATTTATATGTTTTGTGGTTTTATTGGCATTAGGATGTATTCTTGTTTCAAGGATATTGTTTTGTTACATTGTATACCATTCATGCTTTTGTGAAAAAAAATACACTAGGTGGTTTATAAATGCTTTAAAATTAATAAATAATTATGAGCGTAGCATCACAAGTGTAAACTCTGGTTTAGTGCTTGCCATAACTAAATTCTTTGGCAGTTTAATGTATTTCAGAATAATAATCTCTGGACATAAGCTAAAAGCCAAATTGGTAAGAAAAAATAATTATACTGAAATATGGTTTACCTCTTTGGTTTGGATACAAAGCTCCCCAAGTGTTGCATATTTGAATACAACAAATGAAGTAAAGTGATAAAGACGAAAATACCTTAACCCGTTTGAAAAGTGCAGCTCACTTCAGTTCTAATAATAGGCTCCCCATCCCATATCTTTGTAGAGAATGTACTTTCTCAACATGTCAGAGTTTTACTGACATTATCACACGAAGAATTATGGAATTAAAAGGACAAATCCTTGGCTTGCTCTCTTTATGGCACTTTATGCTTCTTACAATCAGTTTTGGAATAGGAGCACATCAACCCTCCTTATAAAAGTTTATACTGCATATATATATATATATATTCCTGATGAAGTGGCAGAGTTACATCTTCACATCCTGGAAATCACACCAGTCACATGGAGTGGAAAGATTTGTTTTTAAAAGCCTGATCATTTAGCTGTTCCAGGCTCCATAATGGTTTGTGACAAAGAACTGTAATAAAAAAGTTGTTTTTTTTAATAACAAAGGAGAGAACCACAATAAAGTGAAAATCCAAAGGTTTGGAGTCATGGATAGAATGACCTGGTTTGATCTCCTGTTCAAATTGCAGATCAGTCACACCCAAGTGGGGATCAGTTGTATCAACTTCAATTAGGTAAACTGGATTTTTGAAGAAGATAACCAATGGCAAGTTGAAAGCTAGCTCTAATATCCAGCATGATGCCTGATAACAAGTCCGTGTGGGGCTATGGCCATCTCAAAATACACAGGAAATACTTATTTAATCCAATGATCCTAGAAAGCACAGTTCTACCCAGAGATTAGATTTTTTTTTAAATGAGGGAGGATTAAGAAAGAACAACTGAAAAAAGAAAGTGTAGTGCTTCCCAAGGAACTGTTCACTCCAGAAAATCCCAACAATGTCTACTGCATATGATTTTAATATTGAATGTAACAAGCTGGAAGAATATACAAAACATGGTGAACTGTGATAATACAAAACAGAAGCAACTTAGTGTAAATTCCCAGGTGGTTCCCTATTTGTGGAATGCCCTCCCTGGTGAGGTGCATCTGTCTCCCTTGCTTCTGACTTTTAGAGGAAATCTAAAGATGTGCCTGTTTATTCAAGGATTCAATGACTGAGAAATACCGACTGTGCCAACCTTGAAAGTAGTAACTGTGGGGGTATGTACAATAATTGTTTTTAAATGCGTGCATATCATAGCTGTCAACTTTTCCCTTTTTAAAAGGGAAATTCCGAATAGGATTCCTCGCAAGAAAAGGAAAAAGTTGACAGCTATGTTGCATATGGTCTTTATTTGCTTTCCATTAAAAAAAAATGTTTTAGATGGATTTACTTATTTAAATATGTTCTATTTTATCTGAAGTTGTAATTTTTAAATATTTTGTTGTTTGTCAACCTGGGCTCCTTTGGGAAGAAGGAGGGGGATACAAACTTAATAAATAAAATATCTGAAGAAAAAAATTTGGTGAGAAGTGAAACTTTGTTATGAATCAAAAAGTTAGATCATTGCAAGGATCTCTGTAAAAGGGAGAAGATGTGGCCCTCTCACAAGCAACAGGATAGTAGCATAGTGCTGAACACATGTGATATTTGATTTTTGATGAAAAGCTGCCATTTTAAAGGATGTAAATAAGGTTTGCGAACCCTCCCGACTTAATGAATTAAGTCGTAATAAAAATCCCACAGGCGCTGGACCCTAATTTCTCTTGTAATATTTGCAAGCTTACAAATGAGCCACAGAAACTGGATTAGAAGGAACAAACATTACTTACCACTATGCTGCTAAACTCTAACCCTCTATATGTGAAACTGAAACTAGTCAGCTCTTCTTAAATTCCTTTCCCTGCTGGTGTCACCCATAACTGATTCCTTGCCCCCCATACAACTATTTCTAAATTACTAGTTCCTGCTCACATTACACCCATCTTTCTGCCACTCTGTGTTAGCCAAATCATGTCCTGTCTAGCCTTTGGAAGACTGTAGCCAAGTGGACAGAAGGTAAAACTCCTCCGGTGGTAATTCAGGTGCTGGGTCTAAATGTTTCCAGGTCTGCTGCTGCTTTGGTGCCATTGGAAGGATACTTGGGAGGATATTGACTGCACCTTTTCCCCAGCCTCATTGCTATGAACTGGTGCCGATCCTAGACACCTTATAAAAACTCACTTGTTGCATGCAGTACCACATAAACTTCTAATGTTGAAAGCGCTGCAATCCTAAACCCACTTTCCTAGGAGAAAGTCCCATTGAACTCAATGGAACTTACTTTTCAGTTGGCATATCTACACTTATTTAAAGAGCTGATTGCTGGTTACTAGAGCACATCCAAAGGCTTTCTTTAAAGCCTATTTATTTGCACTAGTGCACATTTTAAAAGTATTTGAAACCCCATTCACATAAATGGGTGGGTTTAAAAGTATATATGCATTGAACATTCAACATTTTTGTCTCTTCCCTCACTCTGCTGGAAAATTGTTGATAAGTGGAAGCTCTTTTCAAGAACTGTGTGACAATGTTCACAAAGCTCTACCTACCCAGTTCGGCTCAATGCTAATAACATCTCTTGAATGCTCATCTGACTTTGCTTGAGCCCATTTGTACCACTATGCAATTACCCTCCTGGCATAGTGTGACTGTCAAATGGCCCTCTTGGATGGAGCAGTCGACCATGGTTGATGTCAGCCTTAGCAGTCAGTTTCATTGGGGGTGACTGAACAGTGGATGCATGTTTTGTCTGGCTTATTGGAGAGCTGCTTCCTTGGAGGTAATAATCAGAGATGGACCTAGGTCATGTATGATCTAGTGTTGAGATTCCTGCATTGCGGGGGGTTGGACTAGATGATGTCTGGAGTCCCAACTCTACCCATTTGTAATTCTCATTCAGTATTAATACCTTTTAAATTCAGCCTGTTTTTATCCTCTCTGATTCTATGCCTGCCCAATGCTAAATTGCCATAGAACTTCAGAGCTTGCAGGGTGAGGTTTTTGTATAGGTTTGTCTGCTTGTACATATGTGAATTGTGGCTGAATTTTCAGTACAGTCCACCGGTTGCTTCTGCCAAATATTGCTGCAGAAGGCCAAAGCTAGCCCATTTGGGGAGGGCAGAAATGGAGAGAGGCTTTCCTTTTGATTTGGGTCAGTAGCGGGTTTCAGCACACATTGAAGCGAGGAACATTTGCAAGTGCCACTGGAGGCAATGTGGAGTTCAGTGACAAGCACTAATTTTGAGTGATTGTTCTTTGCTTGTGGACAATTACACCCCAATCGCAGAAGGAATCTGAGCATGGCTAATCTAAATGGCCTGGCATTTTGCTATTCAGTGAGGAATGTGGTTGTTTTTTTATTATTTGTTAAAGTTATTGAGCATTTAACCTGTACAATAAAAGTTCAAGTGTTTGTAGCAGCTTGCATTTATTCCTCACATTTACACAGCTTAAAGGCAGGAATACCTGAGCGTATTTGGTGTTTACCACTGGTGGAAAATCAGTTCTTCTAGACATTTATATTTAGGAAACTTTTTTTCATTGCCTAAGAAAGGGGTTCTCGTGATTCTCAGAGCATGTCCTATCCCCAAGACAGGTTGTAAGAATTTAATATGAAACAGATATGGCCTTTATACCTGAAAGGGCTCATAGCAGCAGTAAAGGACCCCAGGGAATGGGGAAGTTTATGCATCATTCCCAGAAATGTCAACAGCAAGCTTAATGATGATATCTTTTGTCCACACAGAGCAGTGACCTATTGTGGCTGCTGTAGAATGGGCTGCAAAACTAGTAGCCCTCCAGATACTGCTGGGTGATACTTCCCATTATCCCTGACCACTGTCCATGGTCATTGGAGCTAGTGAAGTTGGAGTTCAACATCATTTGGGTGACCATAGGTCTACTCTCCTTTGCTGTGGAAGGTGAGGGAGAAACCTCATCATCAGCCCCTGAGATTTTTGAGCTGTTAAGTACTATAGTAGGGGTGGGTAATCTTTTTCAACCACCTGCCAGTGACATGGCCAGAGACAAAGTAGGTGGAGCAGTGGATGCAAATGTTACCTTTGTAAAGTTTCTACTCACACTCCTATGTTCCTCTCTGTCCTCTATCCAAGAGAGGCAGTGGTGTCATCTGGGTGTAAGGGCACATTCCTGACAGGCAAAAGAAAGTCGCAAAGCAGGGTCAGACGCTGATGCTTGGGGGGACTGCATTTGGCTCCCGGGCATCAAGTTCCCCTGTGTTATAGGGTCAGGATACTGGTTTAACCCCAAACCACCATTTCATGAGTATAGAAGCCTTGTTTTTTCCCCATCATTAGTAAAGTTAGGACTGAAAGAGGTATAATTTTCAAGAGCCATCCTCTTTTGTGAAGTGTTTGTTTTTGCACAGTTGTGCAGCCTCAAAAGAGGAAAAGCAAATAAATCTGAACAGAATACTTCCTTTGTGCCCGGATCATAGTTAGTAGCATCACACCAATGACATTGATTTCTCCTGTACTGCTTGACATCCTATCCACAGCTGTTCTTGTCTTTGCTGGTGGGCGCTGAAGGTTGCCTGTTGCATAGTGCTTGAATTCTCATTGTGAAATGCTGCTGGCAAATGATGGAAGCATGTCAAAATAGACAGAAACTTGGCTGCCATTGCATCACAGAGCAAATCGTCACCATACTTGCTTCTTCCTGTGTCTCCTTCCAAGAATGGTGAGTGGTTTTGGATGGAAGAATTTATTACTTTGGGGGAAGGGAACTGAAGTATGTAGCCCAGGTCCTTAAGGAAATATGAATGGCCTAATTTGTTGTTTAGTCGTGTCCGACTCTTTGTGACCCCATGGACCAGAGCTCGCCAAGCGCTCCTGTCTTCCACTGCCTCCCGTAGTTTGGTCAAACTCATGTTGGTAGCTTCGAGAACACTGTCCAACCATCTCATCCTCTGTCGTCCTCTTCTCCTTGTGTCCTCAATCTTTCCCAACATCAGGGTCTTTTCCAGGGAGTCTTCTCTTCTCATGAGGTGGCCAAAGTATTGGAGCCTCAGCTTCACAAATGGCCTAATAGACCACCCCTTTGCTGATTCATACTAGAGAAGGACCAGAATCTTGGAGGCCCCTCTTCATCAGCTAGCAGCTCATTAGGAGTGCCCAGATAATTGTGAAACTATAAATACTGAAGTCAGACATAAGATTACCAGGAGGTGTCATCAATTAGGCAACGAAAGCATCAGAGAAATGTCAGGTTAAAAATAACCTTGAATGGCGTAAGTTTTTTTTTTTTTTTGTCGTTCAATTCATCTTCCCTCTCTTAAGAAATGAGCTATGTTGGAAACCTTCATTACTATTTTTTTTTAAATAATCTATCACAGAAGGATATGATCACAGAAGCTCATGAAGGAGGTGCAATGCCAAAGAGGTTCCTAATTTTCATAACTGAAGGCTGCAGTTCTAAGTTTCAGCCTCTGGTAGAAGTTCACTTAGGACCAGCCTGCTGCAGGGTGGAAAATGATTCCATACAAAAATATTGCCAGCCACCTGGGGATGACATTTGTATAGGGAATATAATGAGTAAACTGGTCTGTTCCTGGGTACAGATGCAGTGACGCAGCTTTGATATATACCACTGTGGTGGAAATTGTTTTCTGTTGTTGTTGTCGTCAGCACCATGTCTGTGAAAAGACTAAATCACTTGATGGATTTTTCGAAGTACTCAGAAGCAGAGTCTACATGGAGCTAATGGTCACTGTATGTACCAGTTATCAGGTTTTATCATATAAGAATGTCAAGGGCAATGGATAATTTTCTGCATGCAACGGGACATCAACACAGTATGGTTTATCCACATAGGATGGCTGGCTTTTCAAAACCATGTTGGTATTTATGCAATTATTTTTGCTTTGGAGAGCTGTTAATGAAAGAGCTTACCCAAAGTTTTTAAGTCCTGAGGGGCAATACTCAAGATCACTTTTAGATTCTACTTGTACACAAACACACACACACACACACACACACACACACACACACACTTAATGAGGGATAGCTCAAGTCGGTAGAGCATGAGACTCTTAATTTCAGGGTTGTGGTTTTGAGCCCCACTTTGGGCAAAAGATTCCTGCATTGCAGGGGGTTGGAGTAGATGATCCTCATGGTCCCTTCCAACTCTACAATTCTATGATTCTATATTCTGGAATTAGAATAAAATGCAAACTTACATAAATCTTTCAGTTTGGATTCAGTACTGTGGGCAGGGATGGGAGGGAATGCATTCAGTCCAAATTTAAAGCAGATGTACCAAATAAGTTCTCAGACTAATACATGAACTAAAGCACAACGCTCCTTCAAAATATGCACTTATCTGAATTTTGTGATGCAGTTCTCCAGTCAAATAATGCATATAAAATGCACCTATTGCTGAGAAGCACATGCCCAAATGTGTACACTGGTGAAAATCATGTACAGAAATGCATTCTGTTAGGGGAGAAATTGCTTTAAAATGCATATAACAGGCATTCGTACAAAAACGTGTATATGGAGAGAAGCATGTGCCAAAATACATATGCATGTTCATAAACACTTTGCTGTCAGAATCAAATGTGGAATATATATGTGGAAATGGGACAAATCAAATTTAAGACAGGAAGAATGAGGACCTGAGAGGAAACAAAACTGTTCCATTTTTAGCCGAGTATAATGGTATGGGGTTGCTCGTGCGTAAGTTGCCGCCTCTCCTGGCTATGTTGCCTTGTTAAACCTTTCTGTCTGGACAGCCCTTCAATTCGTGGCTGCCTCAGTCGCTAGCAGAATCTGTCAGTGGGCGTTTCTTAAACCTTTTCCAACATAAAAGTTGTTTGACACCCAGTCTCCTCCTACTTTCTCTGCGCGGAAGTCTTCTGCGCAGGGAGGGCGTGGGTAGCGGAGGACCAGTGCTCTCCCCGCTGGTGTCCGGTGAAGAGTCTGGGAGCCCTCTCGCCGATTCCCCCATCTGCCCCTCCTTATTCCTGGTGTTGCACTGAATTGCTTCCCCATCTGCTGAGCTGCCTCTCTCCCTGCTGGGCCCTTCTCCAGCACCATTGGAGAGCCTTCCCTCCACCTCTAGCTCCGATGTCAGTTCCCTGACACCGAGGAAAGCTTCACTTTCTGATTTCCATTTGGCATACATCTATTAAAGCCACAGGAGCCATGCTGGGGGGGGGGGGAGTTGACAACCCTAATTATGGTAATCTATCACACTGCACTGATACTCTATCAGTGAAAAGGGAATGATTCATGTCTATTTAGTAAATCAATGTAAGTTTCCAGCTTTTAAAATCCAAAATACAGATTTATTTTTTTCTGTGGGCAGCTAACAACAGGCATCAAGGGAGAAAGCCTCTCCTTTTCTGCAGTGGAATGCTCTCTCCAGAGATGCTCACCTGGCCCCAACTTTAATGTCTTTTAGGACCAGGCACTATTAATAAGTAGGACTACTAATTATTATTTCTCTGGGCTTTTAAAATATTAATAAAAATTGATGTTAACTTATTCTCTGTGTTTCATGTTGGCTTAGGATGTTGGCTTTCACCCTACAAAGATATTTTTGTGGTTTACTTTGGTTAGTAGACTTTGGCTGAAATTCTCTCCCCATCCCCTTCTGATGTGGTTGTTAATGTATTGGATTTTTGTATTGTTATAAGATTGGTGGGTTTTTTAATTGGATTTATGTTTTCAAATTGTTCTTGACAGTTCATCCTCCAGGAAACTATGGTTGTGGGAATGACTAACAAATAAAGTAAATATATAATAATAATTAAATTAGAGACCTAGGATATATTTCCCCTAACAATTCTAATAAGCAGACTTACTCTGCTTAGGGAATCTCATTCCTCAGTGACTTTCTGAAGCTAAATGGTACGTGAGAAATTTTGTTTGTTCCTGCTTTGCTTCCTGCTTTCCCCTGCCCCTTTTGCCAGGGAATTTGCCTTTTTGCAGCATTTTCCAAAGCTAAAGCAGATGAGTAAGCCAGCTAGTCTAAGCAATCAAACGATACTCTCTGCATGGGCCACGCCAGTGCTTGCTTTAGAAATGGTAAATAAGAGAAGATCTTGGTATGTTGCTGCGGCTGGATCCATCCCCACCTTTCTCCTCTTCTCTGTTCATCCTAATTATAGCTTCAGAAACTTCCTCTGAAACAGCAAGAGGGATTAGTTGAAGTTCTATTGCTTTTTGATTAAGTGGCTGAATACTTTGATTGATGCCTTGTTTGCTCATTTCTTATCTCTGACAGTCTTTCTTGACACTGCAGAATCTTCACCTCTTGAGCTGAACTCGGAAGGCTTGAAAGTCCTTGTGAAAACCTGGACTCCAGAGCAGGATGGGAGAAACAGCCCTTGGGGAACTGCTAGGAAATGGATTTGATGTTCACATTAGACCCAGGTGAGCTTACCTCTGTGTTGCTTCTCATAGGTTATGCAATTCGTTAAGTATACCCCATGTACACCCCTTAATGTCTATATAAGAAAAGCATGCCCTGCTTTTTCCTTTATTCCTTACATGTTGCGGGGAGCATTTCTCACCAGTAGCTTACCACTATGGACATCGTGCTCATTCAGTTAGGGGCATTGACAAGAACAGAAGAACCCTGTTGAATCAAGCCAATGGCCATCTGGTCCATCATCCTGTTCTCACAGCGGCCAGCCAGACGCCTGTGAGAAGTCTGCAAGCTACAGATGAGTGCATAACGGCACTCTGCCCACCTATGATTCCCAGCAACTGGTATTTTGAGAGTGGAGAGGCGGGATGTAGCCATCCTTGCTAGTAGCCATTGATAGTGTTGTCTTCCATGAATTTGCCTAATCCTCCTTTAGAGCATTCCAAGTTGGCGGCCTTCACTGTCTCCCATGAGAGTGAGCTCCATAGTTTTAACTCTGTGCTGAGTGAACTTTGTCGATAAGCACTACATGAAGTACTCCGAAAGATCAGCATCCCTGATCAAAGGCTTGTGAGCAGGATCAGGGTGAAATCCCACCGAAGGTTGGACTAGGACAATGGACTCTTAACATCCCACCAATAATGCAAACCAGGGTCAAAGTTTGTTTCTCCCTGCTTGAATTTTTAAAAAGCAGAGGTGCAGTCAGCAGGGTGACCTCCAGATGTTGTGGACTACAACACCAATCAGCCCCATACAAAATGTATGTATTCATGGTTGTTTTATTAATTGCATTTATATCCCACCTTGTTCTTCAAGGTGGCGTCCCCATTCTCCCCCTCCTCATTTAATCCCCCACCAAAAGCCCATGAGGTAGGTTAGGCTGAGAGGCAGTGACTGGCCCAAGGTCACCCAGTGAGCCTCATGACTGAGTGGGGATTTGAACCCAGGTCTCCCAGGTCTTGCTCTGACACTCTGACCACTTCATCAAACATGGGTAATGGTCCGGGATGATGGTGGGAGTTGGAGTGCAGTCTGGAAGACTGGCTAGTTGGTTTAGTTTAGGGTCTTGTTTCCAGCTAGTGATAAGGAGCTCACCAGCAAGGCATGAAAGTGGCAGCCTTTCCCTGGGTTTTCCATCTTTTACTGGGTATCAAGCAAACAGGAAATCATGAGGGCAGCTCATTCTGGTAGACTAAGTGTATCAATTCTGTTTATCGGATGTCACAGCAGTGCAGGACTGGAGTATAGTCTGTTTTGGACAAAGAACCGCAGGCTAAGCACTTGGTTCCGCTACAGTTTATTGGAACAGTCTTTTTGAATCAAGAACATAATAATAAAAAGGAATCCTCACGGGACAGGCAATCAAGTGTATCTAGTCCAGGACTCATGCTTCCAGCAGTGTCTCGAGTGACATATTTCTAAAATTGTTAAAAACAGAGGGTAATGACAAAGCAATCTATCCATTTCTGGCCCCTTCCAGTCTTTGGAAATTTAAGATACTGGAGGTGTTTAAGTCATTAGGGTGAATTTCCTGCACATTCATCCTACCTCAAAGTTATTGATGTTTGCATCTTCCAGAATAGCTTGATTGAGGGAAATTGCATGCCTGATGCTTTTAGCACAACACACCTTCTAGCAAACTCAGGTGTTGAGTGTCGACAGGATTGTGGCCCAAACAAGGGTCCCAAGGATACAAGAGAGAAGTATCAGCATGAGTTGGGGGCGGGGAGGAGCACAAGGTTTGCATAAGCACATTTAAAAATAAAATAAAAACAAATCCAAGCCACTGAAATTGGAATGAGCATGCACAGTAGCAGGAAAATTATTATTACTTTATTGATTTTATGTTGAGTAGCAATTCTGGAAAGAAAAACTGTATGCCCTGCTTTGAGGAAATAGCTTGCTGGTACCCTGAAGAGGAGACTTCCTTTTAGGAAGGAAGATACACGGCAACATTTTGTTGTCTCCTGTGTATCTCTGTTTGTGATAAAAGGCTTTGCTATGGCCAAACCTAAGCTGTTGGAGCTTCAGCTTAGAAATACACACCTTACATGAGCAAATACATTTCCCCACTGTTCAATTCTATATAGCTCTTTGCTAGGCTGGGCAAATTTTATTTAACAATTCTAGCTTGACAAATTCTAATCTAATCTCTTTTTTAATATGGAAAATGTAACTTTTATTTGCAAAAGGGAAAGATCCATTTTTTTCTCAAACAATATTTTATGCTTCATTAAATTGTCTCTCTTAATTGCTTTGCCAGGAACCAAATTATGTACTTCTTGTTGTCCCAAGCTAAAGTGATTTTGTTCTTTATCGATATTATCAGCTGCTTAAAATTGTGTTTCACTGAAAAACCCCTTTCTTACCCCCCCCCAATTGCCCAGGGGAATAAATAACCTATAATGGAGGGAGGGAACTCCACCATTTTTAATTTTTTTGTGTCATTCAAATAAGTCTCTTTTTCATGAAGATTTTCTCCATGAAAATTGCATTGATGACAATAACTGCCTAAAGCGCCTTCCCCTTTTCTCCACGGACAAGAGCGCTAGCCAAGAAAATAAACAAATGAGGCATCCTGTGTAGGAAAAACCATTATGCAGAGGGAAAGCAATAATCATTTAGATATGCACATAAAAGGGAATAGGTTGTAGCAACAGTATAATTGCTTAATTTATATTATGCGGGGAGGATTAG